TCTTCCGATACCACCTCCGAGGGCTGAACGTGAACATCCAATCTCCCCTCTTCTGCTACCTGTCCCCAGCCCAAGTCCTGGGTCTAGCTCGCTGCCTCCTTCACCTGTCTCCCTTCGCGTGAGTTCCTTAGGGTGGGTGGGAAGCGCCACTTTTCCTGGGCCATGAAAATGTTCAGAATCATCACTGAGTGTTCTCAGAACACCTTTGGTGACGATGTCTGGGCCCACTCCCACCCCAAGTCTACAGCTTCCAGGGGGAAGGACTAAGGAAGGCTTTTCCCCACTCTCTCACACTCACGCTTTTCCCTTCTCTTCAATAGTCTTCATTGTCCCTCCCTGAGTGGTAGTCCCCACCTGTTTTTGAAATTTTGGTATAGTGTGCATGCGCTTCAGAGAGAGAGAGAGAGAGAAAGGAAAGTGAGAAAGCACCCCCTAGGGGAAATGGCCACACTGCAGTTCCTTCTCCTCTCAGATTTCGGGGACACGTGCACACACACCAGCATGTTTTTTCAGATCACCAGGTCTGGGCCTTGAACCATGCAGTCAGTCATGCGGACTCCAGCTGCCTTAACTACCACACTACCAGCTAGGACAGTGGTAGCCCTTTTTGCGAGTCCCAGGGAGGAGGCAGGGAAGGAGATAGCAGAAACATTTTATGGAGGGAGTTAAGTCCTGGCAGAAGAGATGAGGAGAGCTTGGATCCGATCTGCCTGGTCCCAGAAGCTGGGCACAGACACAGCCACAAAGACCAGCTACGGTACACACAGTCACTTCCACCGGCTTATCTACATAGACGCAGACACAACAGACTGCTTGGGCAGAGGCGTGCACACGTGGGCACACACACACACACACCTGGGCACAGAAAACTTCTGCAGTTGGCTCACAGGAGAATAACAATCCCAAACATGCCAGATCTGCTAGATGAGGACAAAGTAAAAATGGAAATAATCTTGCTGATGAGACTGAAGTGTCTTCCCAGATCTGGTCAAGTGTCCAATGTGTAAGGCTGTACGGTCTGTGATGGGAGGGAGCTGCCTTTGTCCATTCCTGGCCTTAGGGAAGACGTGCAGAATGACTGTGTGTGACCTGAGAGAGCTTGCAGTGCAGGAAGGGTCTGTGCTTGATTCGTGTTATCTCGCTCAGTGTCTCTGACGGTAAATTAATAAAGTGGGATCTCACTTGTCAATTGGTCTTGCGCGAGTTCGGCACGTGTGCTTCAGCTTCTTGGAGGCTCATTGTCCCCAGGGGAAAAATATAACTGTTTTCCTGGCCTGGTGAGGACTCCGAGCAGCGTGGAGACACTCTCCAGGCTTGGCCCATCTCTGAGCAGATGCCCCCTGAGCTGGAGAAGCAATGCTCTGACAGTAAGTACTCACTTACCCTTTCCTCTGAAAGCTGGTGGCTCTCACAGGTAAGCAAATGTGGAAGGCCCATTCCCAAGCCAGCCACCATTTGGAGGATGTGTTTTCTATATGGGCATGTGCGTTTCCTTAGCGCATTCTCTCCTTTTTGAAGGAAACTGAGGCTCAATTAAATTCCTTTGGCAAAGGCTTCTTTAGCTGGGATTAGAACCAGGGGTGTGTCTCCAGGGGAAGGAGACAGGTTGGCAACTGCAGCCCACCAAACACCACCACCAGAGTAGGGCCAAACAAACCAGTGGTCCAAAGAGAGTTTCTGATGAAAGGGTTCCCCCCACCCCTCCAGTCCCAAGGAACAGGACCCAGGCCTTACCCAGCTGTGCCCAGAATCTCTAGCGGCGCTGCTCCAAAGGGAATGGAATTTGTTCTGACTTCTCTCAAGGGGGAACGCAGGCGCAGAAGGCCAGGGGCCTGGCGGGCTAACTCCAGCCCCAGCCCCCCGAAGTGCCCCAAGCCTTCTGGCTTCATTCCAGCACAGCCCGAAGGGGGCGACATCTGCTTTCTCCAAGGGCCCCAGCTGGAGAGCAGAGAGACCGAGGCGAAGAAGGGGGCTCCTTGGTGGAGCCCACTCCCAGGGGTTCTTGGGGGATCAATCATCTGAAAGCTTAAGCGACTTGTAATTTTATTCCCTGGAAGGAGGAGCCTGAAAGTCGGCCCAGGGGGAGGGGATGGGACGCAAAGG